CGCCGACCTTCTTCCTCTCCCTCCCTTCTCTTTCTCTCCCTCTCCCTCTCCCTCTCTTCCTCTCGAGCCATTTTCGAGCCTGGTAGCTTCGAGCTACCAGGCATTTTCCCTTTTTAAATCAGGAACTATATTTTAGAGAGTTCTTTCTTTGCATCCATTCGAAGAACTTAAAACTCAAAAACGAAAAGAATCAATCAATCGCTTTATTTGTTTTTAATTTTTTACAAATTAAATTTTTTAATTTTTTTATATTTTTTTTTGTTTTCAATAATTTTTTTAATTTTTATAAAATTTAAATAATGTCACTGCAAAGGCCCACCATATTGTGTCATACAATGAGGTGGTTCCTGCAGTTTATGTCCACAATATTTTTATTACTTAGTAGTTGTGATATTGTTAATTCAAATTATGTAGTATAGGTGAAGAAGAAAGTTTTGGTTGAGAGATACATCAAACTTTGAAATTTTTTACAATTTTTGCTTTTTCTTGAGTTGATATCTGTGAAAAGTTCGAGTGAAGAGGCATAAATTAAGAGGATACATTATATATATATATATATATATATAAAGAAGCTAATACTTATCTGATATATTAAAATGATAATTATCTGATTTCTTTTTATCTAGAATAACTTTTATCATTTAAAATTTGAATACTCTTTAAGGATAATATTTGTTCGTTTGTTTTATTTTAATAGTTAATCAATTATTTGGTTTTTAAAGGATACTGTTTGTTTTTTTATATTAAATACAATGATATATGATCCAACAAAAAATTGAGTATGCCATTATTTTAGTACTTTTAAAATTTAAAAATCAATATTATCTTATATATGTTAATACTTATTTGATTGTAATATTGAAATAGATTGATTAAAAAATATTTTTATTTATCTTTCCATAATTTTATTTATTTGTTTGTTTATGTTCATTTAAAAAACATAATTTTAAATTTTTAAATTTTTTTTATAAAGCGAGAAGAATATGAAGAGATAAATTAGTTATGAGTAGAAATAAATTAGTTAAAAAAATATTTTATTCATCTTCTTATAGCTATATCTTTTTATGTTCATCTCATTTTTTTGTCATCTTTAAAAAAAATAATTAGAAATTAAAAAAAGGGTAAATGAGGTTAGAGGGCTTGTCATGTCATGTAAGAAAGAAAAAGTTAACTTTGAATGAGGAGACAAGATTAAGGCTTCGAAAGTTTTCACAAACTTACTACATTTACTTTCATCTATATAGTACAGATATAGATATGTTGTGGACATAAAACGCACGACCACCTCCATTGTATGGCGTATATGGTGGTCATATGCAGTGGCATTATTGACTTGAAAAATGTTTAGTGGTCTAAATTTTTGTACATTGAATAACTTGAATGTGTCAAAACGACGTCGTTTTACACCCAAAATGACATCGTTTTAAGTATTTTGAGTCATTCGAATCATAATTTTTCAAGCCACCTATCTTTGTTGTATTGATTATTTTCATTTTCGAGTTTTAAATTCTTCGAATGAATCCAAAAAAAAAAAAACTATCTCTAAAATACAATTATGAATTATTATAAAAAAAATAAAAAACCAAAACAAAAACAAAAACGTGTGACATTATGTTTTTGAGTTTTAAATTTTTCGAATGGATCCAAAAAAAAACTCTCTCTAAAATTATTGGCTACATATTTTGTATAAGCCAATTACAATTCAACGTGTGGCAGAATAAGGGTAATACGGGAAGACTATTCAAGTCTTCGATCGTGATCGTACACGTGGCGGTTAGTATTGGTTCTTACAAGATCTGTGTAGCACTAGATCAGCAAAGAGATGCAAAGTGATGTGGCTTCAACGGTTACTTACATTCAAATTCAAGATCAAGAGGGAAGCCTAACTGCAGGTAATGGCATAGTGGAGCTAACTATAAGGCAACATAATCAGCGATCATAAAGGAGCAATTCGACAGTTAGAAGTGCAGTTCGATGGTCATCCTTGAGAAGTATGAATAGCAGAGAAAGCCCCAGACTCAGATCCATAAAAACCAGTTTTATCAACTTTATTTCTTTTCCAGTTTTTACATTTCTTGTTCTTTACATTCCTGTACTTCAAATTCCTGCACTACATTTCGTTCATAGGAGTAGTTTTCAAGTAGCTCGTTGCTGTAAACTTCTACGAGGCTGATTCAAATCTTTGTAAGTCTTTCATTTTGCTAAATGAAATACTATAGTTGTTCTTTCATTTAATCATTGTTTACTTAATTCTCCTAAACAAAGCTACCAGTAAAAGTCCTCTTCATTGAGGCTGAAAGAACTAAAACACAATCGTCTGATAATTTGTTGGCAATTAAATTTCTGTAAGGACTGATTGATCCTTGCTGGCACGCTCACAATTACAAAAATAACCTTCGAAAGCCAAAAAAGCCAACATATATTTTTGGCACGCCCAGTGAGACTAATTCAAATGGCTAGACATAGGAGACAAAGAGAAAATGAACGCTTGGAAGGAGAGGTAGAAATACCTAATCCAGAGAATAATATGATAACACATCCTCTGGAAACACCCATTTTATCAAAATCTATGGTCGAACAAACCAGCACTTCAGAACAAGTATCACATGCTCATAATATTGGACGAGGCCAAGGAATTGGACCATCCACTATTCCATCTACTGAGCCAATGAATCCATGGGGTGGCGTGGTAGATGCCATGGGACAGCTGTTAATGAACACAATAGAAAGGTGGGCAACATCCTTTTTGGATCGAATGAATACCCACCAACCAACAAACACAAGACACATGAAGGAAATTTCAAATATCCCTCAGCAAAAATTGGCTAGAGATAAATAGTCTATGCAAATTAATGGACATTCTAATGGTCAAACTAGTAATCAAAACTATGAAAGACCATCACCTCAGTCTTGGTATAAACCTATTTCGAGGCCTATGGCAAGTCAAAATGCCTCATTACTTAATAATGAAGCCATACAAATTGGTGGATCTGGCCCAGTACAAGAAAATGGCAAAAAGATGGTTCCAAATCCCATGTTCGCAGCCATACCTGGCACGAGGGGGTTCACTAACCTTTTATTCGAATTTATACCCGGGGGGTTGGAAAGTTTTCCTACAGCTGGAAGAGACACAACACCTGTTCCAGCACCTTTCGCAAGTCTTTTTGCAGGACAGGCTCAAAGAGGTCATCTGTACCCTCAACAGCAACCAGCACCACAGGGATAACCAGTCCCAAATATGCTACCTTATGGACCAAGAGGACCCCAAGTACAAGGTTGTCCACCAAATCCTATGTTTGTTCCTCCAGTAGTGGTTCAACATGCACAAAATATGGTCCCTAGGGACCAAATTGTTGACATTGTTAGAGAGATGTGTGGACCAATGGTTCAGTGGGTTCAGACTCCTGTGTACAGGAAATCGTACCCGAAATGGGTAGATGGGGTACATGAATACCTAAGAGGTTTCAGGATACCAGATTTTGCTCTTTTTTATGGGAATGGAAACCAATCAACAATTGAGCATATTGCTAGGTTTGCAGCTCAGTGCGGTGAATTTACCAATAATGGCTATATGAAGTTAAGATTATTCCCAAATTCTCTAACTAGGGAGGGCATTTGCATGGTATATTAACCTTACACCTGGCTCTATTCAAACTTGGCAACAAATGGAAGAGGCATTTCATGCCCAATTCTTCCAAACAGAGCCAGAAGTTTCCATGGCAGACTTGGCAAAATTGAGTCAAAGGCCTGATGAGAAAGCTACTTAGTTTATTGTCAGATTTAAAAAAGCACGAAATAAATATAGGATCATCTTATCAGAGCCTGAATTTGTGAGATTGGCTCAAAATGGTCTAAAGTTTAGGTTTTCGAAAGAAATTTGACTCAACTGAGTTTAGAAACTTAGTGGAATTAACCTATAAAGTGTCTAGGTATGAAGCATTACTAGAAGAAGAACAAGATCGAAGTAATGCTCCAAAATATAAAAGTGAAGTGTCATACTATTTCAACCAATAAAAATCTAGTTAGGTACTACAAATTCTCATCTTGGTAGCACTAAATAAATTTTCCACTGCCATTAGTTTTCAAACAAAAGACAGCCAGCACGCTGGCCAATTTTTTAAGAATAATTCTATGCAAATAAAAATTCATACATAATGATTTGGATCATTGTGAACCTTTCACTTCAAAGCAAAACACTATTTAAGATTAATTTATTTATAATAATGGTATTACCACATTATTCTTGTAGAGTTTTTTTGTATGACTTTTATGTATGAATAAGCATGTGAAAGATTCTCAATTTGCATGTGAATCTCATAATTTTTATTGAATCATTGGACATTTGGAATCTTGACAGCCTTGTATGACGATTAAATTACATAAACTCTTCGTTTGCCTCCATATTTTATCATATTACGATCCATTCATTTAAATTTGAAAATAAACAAATAAAGGAGTTCAATTTTTTTGAGAAATGGAAAAGAAAATAAGATATCCTTATGTAGCAAGCACGAAATCCCATGTATACATAGTTAACGAGTCATCACCTAAGAAATTTGGCAAGCTACTCGAATTATTGATTTTTCAGAGGCCAGCCGAAACTTGTAGACCATTCACTTGAAAGATAGATTTACTTAAAAATATTTACTTTTCTTGCAAGAAAGAAAGAAGGAAAGAAAAAAAAAAAGAGAGAGAGAGAGAGAGTAAAATAACCTATTATATATTTACACTATCTATTTTGTACACCATAAATTGTTGTAATTGATGGAGTATATAATGAAGGAGTTGAAAACAAACCATTTAAATCTTCTAGCATGAGAATTTTCTTTATTGGGATAATTCATTTCATTTTCAAGTGACATTGCACAAAAGATAAAGAGGAAAGAATCTTCTAGCATGAGAATTTTCTTTATTGGGATAATTCATTTCATTTTCAAGTGACATTGCACAAAAGATAAAGAGGAAAGAGAAGTAAATTTTGTACCAAAAATTGTCATAGATCATTAGTATTTTGATTAATATTCAAAGTATAAACAAAAGTGTCTATTTCATGTACAAGTATGAACAACAAATCAAAAGGCTTTTCACTAAATAACAAAATCTTGGTCTAGTGGTTGAGAATGTTTAGGAGGGAAACTCTGGTTTTGATTAAACGCCTGAACAAAGACTCTAATCCTTTTTCGAGCTCTTGAATGCTCAACTCCATCTCCCCCAATTGATTTCGCAAACTCTCAATATGTATTATACTATCAGTTTTGCTTGTCCTGTGATCGGTGAGTGTTTGCAACACATCATCAAATTTCTCAAACTCATTTGCGTTTGTTTCTTCATCTACACCCTTACGGTGCATCAATTTGGAAACCAAAGAAAAGCCACCCAGTCTTGATTGCATTTTTGTCCCTGCAACATAGGACAACAAAGACTCAAACACACCAACAGTGGCTGCTTCGACCTCATTCAACAAGACAACAATCTCCAAAGTTTTGCAGTCTTTGTCAGAGGCCAAACCGGTGTTCTTGCTTTTGATACTCTTCAAATCCTTCAAAGACTTTTGGATTGCCTTCTTTGCCTTCATTCTAGAGGCCAAGTACCCTGAAAAGTAATTTGTTTCCCTTCTTCGTCGCAAGACTGAAAGAAGGCCTTGTACATCTTGCTTTGTTTGAGAGGAGACATCTTTAGCAGCGGCACATACATCCAAGAGCCTTAGATACCCATCCAACGCCTCTTCAACCCATTTTTCATGGCATAGTTGGGCAAAGACTTTTTGAGTGTGTGGCAATAGAAGCAAATCATCCAAACAATTGTACATATCTTTAAGACTGCTTAGTTTGTTGTCTACTGATGACAAATGCTCATTCACTTGAGGAATGAGCGGGTGAGGCCTAGAGGGCAAGCTAACAGAACGAGCATGGTAGATCAATTTTGATCTCAATGGAGAGGAAGCCATTTTTCTTTCCAATTCGAAGGATTAGCGCTGGTATATGCAATATAATCGAAGTTGCGGGTTTGGGTTGTTTTCTTTCCTTGTCATAGGCTCTATATATATTAAGAGGGTGAAGGAGACAAGGAATCTCATCCTCATCAACTATCACCTGGCTACAACGTGATCTTGATTTGGATCTGTATGCTCTCACAGAGATGTTCACTCAATGTCTCCCCCAAATAGACCCCAAACTGACCACATAATTAATTGTTTGTATCTTGGATAATCAGTGGCATATCTTATCATCTAATATGGTTTGAATGCAATAATTCAAAGGTTGGTCTATAAAAAATGGAATGCACGAATGGCATTGACGGCCCTGCTGTTTCCTCTAGCAAGAAAATTAATGTCAACAACATTTTGCGTAGTTACGATTGGACAATGATGCCCACATGATAGTTGCACAAGAGTCTGGCAAGATCTGCACACAACTTTGCCAATTAGTAGTATCACATGAACCAAACGGGAGGATCCCCAAACAGAAAGACAAGCCAGTACACTTCAAATTGTTTGCAAGTCATGTGAATCTCATAATTTTTGTTGAATCATTAGGTTTGAGACAATGGGAACCTTGACAGCTTTGATACCATAAATAATATAAACTCCTCGTGTGGCCTCAGTGTATCACATTATATTATGATATATCAGTTTAAATTTGCAAAAAAGTAAGTAGATAAATGAAGGACTTCAATTTGTTTTTTTTTTTTTTTTTTTTTTGGAGGAATGGAAAAGAAAATAAGATATTCTTATGTAGAGCACTAAATATCATGCCTAGTTAACTCAACAAGTCACCCCCTAAGAAAAGTTGAATATACAGACTTAATTACTAATTTTGCATCTCAAAAGGCAAGAAAACATTTTTTTTTTTAAAAAAAAAATTTATAAAGGGTGTCCCACTTAGAGTTTTCATTTTAGGCCTGAAATAGGATTGAGCTACCTCTGATCTTGAAGATATGATCTAGATGGCAAGCTGACTGATTGAGAATGGTAAAGGGCGTTTGATCTCAAAGTAGATGAAGCTATTTTTCTCTCTTATCAGGAAATATCTTAGCAATAGCAAAATGTACAATTCAATCTTGCAGGTTGTGTTAGTCCAGCATACATATCATGGAGAGAATTGAAGGAGACATAAGGAATCCTTCTAGATCATTTATAGATGAGCAGCAATGTGATTTTGATCTGGATCTAAGTGCTATCGTTGGACTTCTATCTAAACACTTATAAAATGATTCATAAAATATGCAATGCACGAGTATCATTGACACACTGTCTCCTCTTGCAAGAAAATCCCAGCACCATTCTCTCTATTCTGCTCCCATCTTCTCAACATGCAAGTGTGTGTGTGTGTGTGTGTGTTTTTGCATGTGCATGTGTACAGCTAATAAATACTGTCATGGTACATTTATTTACGATGCAATCATGTATACAGGCTTGTCATTTTGCAAAACCTACTCAAATGTCTCATAAATTATCTATGTGGTGTAGAATTTAGGGTTAACATATATAGAAGCACATGTAATAATTGGGTGGTAAAAATTGGAACAAATTGAAGCTTATGAGTGCTGATAGAAATTAAATAACCGTGCTTCCAAATGCAGAAATCGTCACTATGATTTATTAAGGATTTATGCATTTATGAATAAATAAATACTGTAATCAATGTTAATATGAATTATGTTTAGTCAAACTGGCTGTGTGATTGTTGCACACGAGAAGCCAGCAAGATCCACACGGTGACAAACATTGTAGAACTAGAACAGGGAGTCATGTTGGGATAATTCATTTCATTTCCAAGTGAATTGCACAAAATATAAGAGGAAAGAAGTAAATTTGTACCAGAAATTGTCACAAATCATAAGTTTCTTGATTATTATTCCAAGTTCAAACACAAGTGTATATCTCATGTACAAGTATGAACAGCTAATCAAATGGCTTTTCTCTGAGTAACAAAATTTTGGATGCCCATGATTTTGCATCACGATTTTCTCAACTAGTGGTTGAGAATATTGAGGAGGGAAACTCTAGTTTTGATTAAACGCCGGAACAAGCACTCTAGTCCTTCTTCGAGCTCTTGAATGCTCATCTCCATCTTCCCCAATTGATTTTGGAAATTCTCAACATGTGTTGCACTATCAGTTTTGCTTGTCCTGCTACCGTTGAGTGATTGCAATGCACCATCAAATTTCTCAAAATCATTTGTACTCTCTTCATCTTGGGATGCTACACTCTTGTGGTGCATCAATTTAGAAATCAAAGAAAAGCCACCCAGCCTTGACTGCACCTTTGTCCCTGCAACATAAGACAACAAAGACTCAAACACACCAATGGTGGCTGCTTCGACCTCATTCAACAAGCCAACAATCTCCAAAGTTTTGCAGTCTTTGTCAGAGGCCAAACCCTTGCTTTTGATACCCTTCAAATCCTTCAAAGACTTTTGGATCGCCTTCTTTGCCTTCTTTCTAGAGGCTAAGTACCCGGAAAAGTCATTTGTTTGCCTTCTTCGGCGCAAGACTGAAAGAAGCCCTTGTACATCTTGCTTTGTTTGTGAGGACACATCTTTAGTAGCGGTGCACACATCCAAGAGCCTCAGGTACCCATCTAGCACCTCTTCAACCCATTTCTCATGGCGTTGTTGGGCAATGACTTGTTGAGTGTGTGACAATAGAAGCAAATCATCCAAACAATCATACATATCTTCAAGACTGCTTAGCCCGTCACCTACTGATGACAAATGATCATTGACTTGAGGAATGAGCGGGTGAGGCCTAGAGGGCAAGCTGACAGAACGAGCATGGCAGGCTGATTTTGATCTCAATGGAGAGGAAACCATTTTTTTACTTTCAAATTAGGAATAAGGCCTAGCTCTGGAATTTGCAATGCCAAAGTTGTGGATTGTGTTCTTTCCTTGTAATAGGCTCAATATATATAACAAGGGTGAAGTAGACAAGGAATCTCATCCTCATCAACCATCACCACCTGTCTGTGATCTTGATTTGGATCTATATGTTCTCACGGAGATGTTCACGCAATGTCTCCCCCAAATAGATCCCAAACTTACCACACACTTAATTGGTCATATCTTATCAAATAATATGGTCTGTATGTAATATTTTTCTGATGGTTCATAAAAAATGAAATGCACGAATGGCATTGACACCCAGTTGTCTCCTCTAGAAATTTAATGTAAGCTGTAGCCATTTCAGATCACAACTGACCACACAATTTGCATAGTTAGGTAATGATGCTCACATGATTGTTGCAGAAGAGTCTAGCAAGATCTGCACACAGCTTTGCCAACTAGTTTTTATAATGCTGGAAAATGGAGCCATGCTTGCATTGTTAGTAGTATTATATTAATCAAATGGGAGTGTGTGTCCCCAAACAAAAAGACAGTCAACCACTTCAAAAAAACAAAAAATTCAAAGCATGTGAACGATTCTAAATTTCCATGTGAACCTCATAATTTCTGTTGAATCATTAGTCTTGAGACAACAGGAATCTTGACAGCTTTGGTACCATAAATAATATTAGCTCCTCGTGTGGCCTTAATATATCACATATATCAGTTCAAATTTGCAAAAACAGTAAGTAGATAAATAAAGGACTTCAATTTTTTGAGAAATAGAAAAGAAAATAAGATATACATATTTAGCACTAAATATCATGCCTAGTTAACTCAACAAGTCACCACCTAACAAAACTTGAATGTGAAGACTTATTAATTTTGCATCTTAAAAATCAAGAAAACATATTTATACTTTTTACTTATTTAAAGTTTTCATTTTAGACCTCAAATAGGATTGAGCCGCCTCTGATCTTGAAGATATGATCTAGAGGGCAAGCTGACAGCTCAAGAATGGTAAAGAGCTTTTGACTTCAAAGATGAAGCCATTTTTCTCTTTAATTGGGAAATCACGCATAGCAATAGCGAAATGTACATTTCAATCTTGCAGGCTGTGTTACTTCTGCATATATATCATGGTGCTAGAAGGAGACAAAAGGAATCCTTCGACTTCATTTATAGATGAGTGACAATGTGATTTCGATCTAGATCTAATTAAGTACTATCATGAGAGATGTTTATTCAATGGCTGCTCCTAGACTCACTAGCCAATTCTTGTTTATGCATACGCTTCTATCTAAAAACTCATAAAATGTTTCATAAAATATGCAATACACAAGTGCCATTGGCCTACTGTCTCCTCTTGCAAGAAAATCCCAGCCCCATTCTCTCTATGCTGCTCGCATCTTCTCAGCACAGCAAGTGTGTATGTTTGAGTGTGCATGTGAATGATTTTGAGTCAAATTAGCTACATGATTGTTGCACACGAGAAGCCAGCAAGATCCACGTGGCTTCCCACGTCGTTCCATAATTTACAAATTTAGATAGAGTGATGCTCTGATACATATAAATTAGACTGTCCCAAGATCAGAAAGACAGACAGCACATTTTTGTTTTTTTAAACGGTATCAAATCTGAAACTACCATGTGAATCACAAAATTTTTTTTTTTTTAATATTCATCCCCTTTAGACATTTTTTTTAAATAATTAATTGCTAAAATTACATAAAATGTTCATGTGGCTTCAATTATGATACATGCATATGATTATTAACCTGCTTATATGTTGAATAAAATGAAGGGAAAAAAAAAGTTTTGTGATCATATTGCTAACCTCAATTTTTTCAACTTTTACAAGAACATAATTTTGAATCTTGATATCATTCAACATGTCATGCTTCTTCTTTACTCTCTAAATATTTTTCTTTCAATTTCATGCTTATTAATTACTTAATAAGATTAGAGAACTGACAAAGATGGAACATAGTATGTTACTTTCATCCCCAAGTGATTAATGATTTGAGCTAGCAAATGATGTGAGAACAACAAAGAAATACTGCACATATAAGCAAGAATTTTGAGCAGAATATATGTTGATTTTGTTGTGCCTAGGAAGCAGAAAACAATCACACACAAATACACAAGCAAGAACATACAAAGATTTACGTGGTTCGGCAAATCGCCTACATCCACGGGCAGCGGATTTCACTATATTGGGAACTAAATATTACACACTCTGTAATTCTCTCTCTCTGCTATGTATTCTCTCTTTAACTCACCACACAAAACTCCTCTCATTCATTACCCATTTATAGGTTAATGGGAGAGACAAGCTGCCGACTTCATTTATGGCAACTACCATCATTTATGGCAACCACCAATCAGCATTTATGGCAGCCATCAATTGAAAATTTGAGCCAATCTTTAACAAATCTCCACCTTGGCGAGGATTCTCTATCCAACATAGTGATCGATCAACACTGCCATGCACCCGAAGGTGCTCAGTTCCGAGAGATGTTGACCAAGTCCAAACAGTGTTGGAACTTGATCCCAGAAACCACTTTTGTGAGCATATCGGTCGGATTATCTGCAGTACTAACCTTTTGAAGCAGAATATCACCTTTATTCACAATTTCTCGAACGAAATGGAAACGGACATCAATGTGCTTGGTGTGAGAATGATGAACCTAGTTCTTTGCCAAACAAATGGCACTTTGACTATCGCAGTGCACCTCAACGTGCTTCTGAACAATATCCAAGTCCTCAATCAACCCATGTAGCCAAATAGCTTCCTTAAAGGCTTCTATCACTGCCATGTACTCTGCCTCTGTAGTAGACAAAGCCACCGTTAACTGAAGCGTTGACCTCCAACTCACCGGCCCTTTAGCAAGCGTAAATAAATACCCTGTTGTTGACCGGCGTTTGTCCAAGTCACCAGCATAATCTAAGTCCACATATCCAACCAAATTTTGTCCGAGTCGATGATCTCTCTCGAACTTCAAACCCATATTAACTGTGCCATGTAAGTACCTTAAGATCCATTTCACTCCCTGCCAGTGACCTTTCCCCGGATCATGCATATACCTGCTTACCATACTCATAGCATGTGAGATGTCAGGCCTTGTACAAACCATAGCATACATTAATGCATCAACTGCATTTGCATATGGAACCTGTGCCATATGCTTTCGTTCTTCTTCTGTGTGTGGAGACATCGAAGCACTAAGCTTGAAATGAGGGGCCAATGGTGTACTCACAGCTTTTGTTTTCCCATTTATGCCAAATCTCTCTAACATCTTTTTCAGATACTGGGTTTGTATCATATAGATCGTTCCCTTCTTCTTGTCTCTTTTGATCTCCATGCCAAGAATTTTCTTTGCTTCACCAAGATCCTTCATTTTAAACTCTCCTGCCAACTATGCCTTGAGTTTATCAATCTCTACTTTGCTCATAGATGCAATCAGCATATCATCTACATATAAGAGCAAATAGATGAATGAACCATCGGAAAGCTTACGGAAATATACATAATGATCATACTGGCTTCTTGTGTATTTCTTTTCCGTCATGAACCGATCAAATCGCTTGTACCACTGTCTTGGGGATTGCTTCAACCCATACAACGATTTGTTCAGCTTACATGTCCAATTCTCTTTTTCAGCAACTTTGAAACCATCTGGCTAGGACATGTATATCTCTTCTTCAAGATCTCCATGTAAGAAGGCAGTTTTGACATCGAGTTGGGCGAACTCGAGATCAAACTGTGCAACCAATGCTAGCAAGATACGAATAGACGTATGCTTCACAACAGGTGAGAATACCTCATTGTAGTCTATTCCTTCCTTCTGGGCATAGCCTTTAGCTACCAATCTAGCTTTGAATCTGATGTTGTATTTGCCTGGGATGCCTTCCTTCTTGGTGTAAACCCATTTACACCCAATTGCTTTCTTGCCTTTTGGAAATTGCGCCAACTCCCAAGTTTGGTTCTTATAAAGTGACCCGATCTCTTCATCCATAGCCTCCTTTCATTTGACACTTTCTGGATTCTGCACAGCTTCTTTGAAAGTGCAAGGAATATTATCTTCAATGATTGGAAGTGCATAGGCCATCATATCGGTCATCCAACCGGGTTGCTTAGTAACTCTTTTTCCTTTTCTGATTGCAATAGGTTCTGACTATTATGGGGCCTTTGGATCTTCATTTTCATCTGAACTCTCTTCAGAATCTTCTTCAGAGCTGTCAACTAAAACTTCTTTAGGATTGTTGCTTGTCTGAGCAGTCTTCGTTGGAGTCTCAAACTCCACCTGCACTGACTTTTTCAATGCTTTATCATTCTCTTGAGGATTTGGCTGCTTTAGCATTGTAGACTCATCAAAGGTAACGTCTTTTCTAGTGACAACTTTCTTTGATTCAGGGCACCAGAGTCTATATCCCTTGACACCGTCACTAAAGCCCAAGAAGATAGCTTTCTTGGCTCTAGGATCCAATTTAGATTCTGTAACATGAAAATAAGCTGGACATCCAAAGATACGTAGCTGATCATAATCAGTAGCTGGCACTCTTGACCATACCTCCATGGGAGTCTTGTCATTAAGTGCTGCAGTAGGTAGTCGGTTAACAAGACGAAGAGCATAGTTCAATGCCTTGCCCCAAAATGCCTTGCTTAATCCAGAATGTGACAGCATACACCGGACTTTCTCCACCAAAGTGCAGTTCATGGATTCTGCAACTCTATTTTGCTGTGGCGTTCCACTAATTGTGAAATGTCTCACTATCCCTTCATTTCGGCAAACCTCAAAGAAGGGATCTGATGTGTATTCGTCACCATTGTCAGATCTGAGCTTCTTGATCTTCCTGTCTGTCTGGGTCTCAATCATTTTCTTTCATGTAAGAAAGATGTCTAATACTTCATCTTTATATTTCATTGTGTAAACACATACTCTTCTTGAGAAATCATCAATGAACAACACAAAATAGTGTTTACCTCC